AGATGAAGGAAAAAATTTTTTGAGATATTGTTATACAGAAATGAAAATTTTTTAGTAGTTTAATAATTAAATTAGAATCATTAGGATCAACTTACTTTGATGTTATAAACTAATTTATAAGCTAATGAAAATAAATAAATTTTCTAAATTTGATTGTTTTTTTTCATAATATAATTTTTTTGGTTTTAATCAATCATGCAAATGTTCATAATTATAATCAAAGAGGTGATTGTATAAAATATCCTCTAATGAGTTGTGAATGAGAAAATTTGAGAGGGAAATTTATAAGTTATATCCCAAAAAAACCACCACTTATATCGTTTTGCTCTTAATATAAATTTTAAGAAGACTCTTTGTTTACGAAATCAGACATAAAAAATTATCTGAATTAGAAGATTTAAAAGTAGAATATTCATGGGTTTTAGAAAACAATAAGTGTTAATTCTTTACTGGATGTACTGCATATACAAAATCTTCATATGATGAATGTTACAAAATATCGAAAACATATATATCAGATTCAAGTTAATGCATAGATATAAGAGAATGTTCAGAGTATATTACAGTAAATAATTTAATATTTATCGAAAATCATGTAAATGAAATAAATAATAAAATTCTTGTTAGGATCTCACCGCCTGTTCTGATATTTCAACAGATATTTATAAATCTCATGAATATTGTAACAATTAGTTGCCTTATTGTAATAAAGAATTAATGCATAAATGTATTTTACAAAACAAACAACTTAAAAGAATTTAGAATGAGAATGATCAATGAATTAAATTATTAAAAGATTGTATAAACTATACATTTGAAGATTAATGCAAATTAACAGCATTTAGAAAATATTGTTAATGTTCAAATGGAATTTGTAAAGAAAAATTATGTAAATAATTAATGCCTGATTGTACAATAAATAAAGAAGGAGGATGTTAAAGATTATTAGATGTGAAGTTATGAAAAGTTAAAGTAATTGTGAAAATCAAATAGTTCATTAGTAAGATCAAGATAGATTTGGATGTTAAAAAAATGAAGGGTGTAATGCAATTAAAAAAAAAGAAGTCAAACAAATAAGAATATTGAAAGTATATAATGTAGATGGAATAGTGGATGCATTGAAAAAAACATGTGAAAATGTTTCAAAATAAATTACAACTCATTAAGAATGTGAATATTGCTTATTTAATTGTACTACTAATAATGGAATAGAGAAGACATATGAGAATGCTCCTAATATTATTAAAAAGGATGGAGGTAGTAATAAAAATGATTCATTTTCAAAAGCAACAATAGAAATAGCTTTGTATCAAAGATATTTATGGAATTGATTGCTCTATTTAATTGAAGATTCTTTTTAAGATTTTAAAGTTTTATATTTTAATAACTGGATTATATGTTATGATTAATTTAAAGAGTAAATATAATATTAAATAAGTTTGAAAATAGAAAAAATTAATATTTTAAATAGGTTTTTCAATTGTGAGTTTTAACAAAACTCAAGATATATTAATGTGTTTATATTCAAATCTTGTTTCTTAATATGATTGATAAATAAATAAGATTAATATCAATAAATTTTTCATATACAATTAACTAAAAATTAAGATCAAAAAACTCTATTGGAATGATATTAATGGTGGATGTATTCAAAAATCATGTAATAATGCACCATTTACATACAACACTTAATCATTATGGAATAAAGTCAAGTTAATTTATCTGGAACTGGTTGTGAAGATAACATTTGTTAAAATTTTAGAGAAGAATATATTATTTAATTAAAATAAAATTAATTTTATGATTTGGTAATATTCGAACTATAATTCATTTTATTATTTAATTATTAGCATTAAAAATTTAAATAGTTTAAGAATGTTATCTAACATCCTAGTATTTATACAATCAAAATTGTAATATTTTTTTTGTAACAAATTTGTTTTCACAGAATTACAATTATATTAACTCTTTAAGAAATATAATTTTTAGATTAATAAATTCTATTTAATAATTTAAATAATTATAAAGTACTTAAAAAAATTATTAACAAATTTTAGAAGATTGATATTCAATTATAGATTATATTATGAATTAAAAACTTTTAGTGTGAATTTACAATAAATTTAAAGGACTATTCAATAAAACTTGTACAGCTATTTCAAGAGTTAAAGGTAAAGGATGGGTTAATAGAGAAGAATTTTGTTTTAATTATAAAACTGTGAATAATATATTAAAAATTTACAAGGGAAAAAATGTTTATAATCGATGTTTGGATTGTGATGATTTTTCAATTATTGAATTAGTACTAGATTTAAATAAAGGTTGACAAAACGAAAGTAAGCTAAAATCTATTCAAATTAAATCCTTTAGAGTTAAGATTAAGAAGAAAAATCAATTTCTTTTAGCGGAAACTTAGTTTTTATTAATTTTAATAAATTTAAGGATCATTCTGAATTTTTTTTTTACCAGATATATTTACTGCAATATAAAATAAGTTTTATTTAAAGTAGAAATAGAATTCTACTATTATATAATTATCTGATTAATATTACAACTTTTATCATAAATTCAAGTTCTTAATAAAATGATGGTTACCTTAAAATTTTTCTTTGTTTCGAAAAATCATCATAAAAAATTCTTTTGTTTAAAAAAATATGAATAAATTAATACATTAGCAAAATTTATAATGAGAATAAATTAAAAAAAGACATTTAGGATGAGAAAAAGGTATTGTTTTTAATTCGTATCTAAATAATGATTTGAATTCTTTATTAAAATATTGCAAATCATATTTAACTTTCTTCATTCAATTTTTGTTATAAACAATACAGATCCAACTTTATAAAATTCAATTTATCATTATAATAAAAAATATACAAAAATAGAAAGTTTGCAATCAATTTTTAATAAAGAATAGATATTTTCAAAGAACTCATTCAAAAACTTAAACAAGAATAAATTTTTTAATCATAATGAATATTATATAGCATAATTTAAATAAAAAGCTAAAGAAACAAAGTTAAATGAGAAGTTATATAAATATTCTAAATAATCTTCTAAAATTACATACTTTTATTATAAATAATCTTCTTAAAGAATCATAAATGGCTTACACAAATACCCACGAGCAATTTATAAGAATAAATTAATAAAACAAAAAATCTATTTCATTTTATTTTGTATACTTATTATATTATATCTATATTTACATTAGAAAATGATATATTAATATTTTATACTGATAAAAATAAAGTTCTCATTTTAGCACTAACTATTCTTAAATCCATTTCAGACCATTTTCAACTCCTTCACCAGTAGTTGCACAACAAGGTTGAATATGCCAATTGTTAGAAAATTTTTGAAGGTTCAATTCAGAAGCCAAATCAGAAGGGCTCATTTATGATAAATCTTATTTATTTGCATATATTAAAGTTGGTAAGTCAACTAGTAACGTATCAAGCAACAATTTATGTAATTCTTCTTTTGCTTCACACATTCTTTCTTTGTCAGAACAATCAATTACAAAAATTAATCCATCGCTTTTCTAAAAGAAAGGCTTCCAAAATACTCTTATTTTATCAGGTTCTCCAATATCCCAAGAAATTATATCAAATTGCTTAATTTAAATTTTCTCAAAATTATATCCATTTATTGGAACAATACTTTCAATATCTCCTAATTTTAATTTGTATAATATAGTTGTTTTTCCTACTGCATCTAATCCCAACATAATTAATTAAGGTTTTTGAATAGTATTAAACTTTGTAAAAGGGTTTCCCATATAAAATTATAATAATTTTTTCTTAATTTCTATTATTTCTTTTTATAAAATCCTTCCTTTTCCTACAAGGAATTATCTAATTTAAAAGTTATTATATTCTGATGGAATTTTATTATATTATTTCAAAACAATTAAAAAAAAAAAAATTAAAATATTTAAGTCATGGTTTTTAATAATTTTTATAAGTTTAGTAAAAGATATTTGTAACTTTTAATATATTCTTAGGTTTCTAAGCATCATCTTACAATCATATGAAATAAAAAAATTCTCATCAAAAAAAATAATGAAGCATAATCGACTTATCAATAAAATTCAATAAGGCCTTATAATTTTTGTCGTTTAGTTTGTAATTAATTCTTGCATATCATAAAGAATAATAAATAGACAAACAATTTGTTTGCTATCTAAATGAAAAATAATGGGAGCAACTTTAAACTTTCTTATTAATATTTCTTACCTAAATACTAAATTCCTAGAATTTGTATATTATATTTAATTCATAAATTTGTTTAAATCTAAAATTAGTTTTAATCTAATAAATTCTCTATCTGAGATTATTTTTTTTTAAGGTATCTTTCTGCATTACAGTCTTGTTCCTTAATAAAAAATGCCTTTTAATACAAATCCTGCTAGAATGCCATAACTATTCGTTCCTTTTGTAATAACTGAACTAATTTTTATTTTTCTTATTGTCTATTAAAATTAATTCCTTTTTTATAAGCCTTTACTGTTATAAATATTTTTCTATAAAATATTCCTCTCATCAGTATGCTCATATATACATTGCATCTATTAAACAAAATTGAAAACTTATCCTCATATTATTGATTGGTTTCTTTTTATTTCTTTTGCTATTTTCTCAATAATTCTTTTGTACTAATATTAACATAGATACTACTCTTATTAAAA